TTCAATTAAAACCTACACCAGAGTGTGAGTGGCGAGACTCTTTTGTGGCTGCAATCGTGTGTACAACGCGCAGTTCCCGTGCTGGAATGCAAACTGCTGTGAAATCTTTTATTTTCGTTTTATGACACAACATCAATTTCATGAGTACTTTGAAGGGGCCATTAGGGAAAATAAAAACCAAATTTGGGTCATTTAAGAAACGTTTTCACCACAATTACCGCCCGGGCCGTTCCGTCCAGGGGTTTTCCCAGGCAGAGAAGTGGACGTTCTGGTTGCTCCACCCATGGCTTTCGCCTCAGGGGCTGTCTGGTCTGCAGGCAGGTCCACGGCCCAGGAGGGGGCCTGGCGCCAGGGCTCCTCGAAGGACAGGTGAGTCCCGCCGGGCTTCGGGTCCACAGTGAGGGTGGAGGGAGCAGACTCAGCAGCAGGCCTCTCACCAGACCTGTGCCCTCGCGCCCCCGTAGTTAGCACCCCCAAAGCGGAACTGAGACCTTAAAAAACCCTTCGTGATGTGGCCACAGGGCGTGCAAGTGCCCTCCGGCCTCTGGTGAAGGACTGGCATGTGGGCCCGGGTCGCCCTCTGGGGAACAGAGCAGGTGCAGGTGCACGTCTGGCACCGAGAGCAGGAGCCCCCACGGCCGTCCTCCTACAAGGCGGTGGCGCAGGCCCTCCCGCGCCCGGCACGCTCTCCCGGACAGAGGGCACTGCTGGGCGCCCTCCCTGTGCTTCCGGCTCAGTTTGTCGGTTCACCCAGCAAGTTCAGGGGCAGACGGAGCCCTGCTCTGGCCTTGGCTCAGCCAGGACAAGAGCCACAGGTTTGCGGCCTCACCTGTTGTGTTCAGCCAGCAGGCCGTCAGCAGGGTCCCGAGCTCGGAGTTGCTCTCCACCTCAGGTCCCATTGGCGGGTTGTCCTGACCGCCCCTCACCTTCCCCAGCAGCCACGCCTGAGGGCAGTCCAGGCGCACCTGGGCCCTCACCTGACCGGCGCTGACGGCTCCCAGGGCCACCTTCCAGAGGGGCCTAGGGAGGGCCCGGCCAGTGTCTGACCAGGTAAGTGGCCACTGGCTGTTCCGAGGGGTGCCACCCTCTGTCCGTGGTGCTGCCAGGGCTGACACACAGCCCAGGGATGCATGAAATGGCTGGGCCTGGGCTTGACAGTGAGGGCACACATCAGGAACAGGTCCTGGGCTGTACAGCCCACTCCCCGCCCAGCCATCCCCCATCTGCAATGGCCAGGAGGGCCGGCAGGGGACTGGGCCCCACGTGCCAGGCCAACTCTACCCTCACCCCAGCCCCTGTCACTGTGGTTCCGGCCTGAGGCTGCCAAGGGCCCTGCCCCCCTCCCCATGTTGGCTGTGGGCTGGAGGACAAAGTCGCCAAGCCTGCTGAAGCCAGCAGGGCAGGAACACAGAAGGAAGCTTGGCCCAGGGCTGCGGAGACCTGCCAAGATGCCAGTCCTGTCTTTGCAGAGCAGCACCGGGTGGGGGAGGGAGCTCCTACCACCCAGGCTCTCCCAAGGGCGCCCCACAGGGCCCCCAACCCCAACCAGGACCCAACATCCTAAAGTCCTAACAGACCACACAGTCAGCGACGACTATGACAACGAGCAGCAAACCTGGGTGGGACCCGGGGGAGGCGTGGGGACACAACCTCCCCAAAGGGCCAGGGCTGAGAGGCCCAGCCTCCCAGCGGAGCAGAGCCCAGTGGCCTCTCTCCCGTCCTGCCCCAGCCCCTCAGCACCAGGCCACAGACCCTCTGACCCGCTCAGCCCCTCCGCAGTCAGGAGCCCCCAGCACAAGAGGAGGCAGGAAGAGATCCCAGCCCCTCGGGACGTCCCCCCTGAAGGTCCCTTTCCAGTTCCTTTGAGGTCGTCTGATGAGGGAGTCTGTCTAACACAGATGCTGAACTCGCTTCAACCATCTTGGCTCAGCCACACTCCCCAAGTGGCCCTGAGCTTTACTTGCTTTGTGCCTCAGTTTACCCCGAATGAGGAGGCTCTGATGCAGGTTGGAGGCGGTCCCTTCCTGGGCCTGGGCTGCAGGAGTGACTGGGGGAACTTACCCAGGACGCCTTTTCCCGGGGACCTCCCTTGCTTCAGGAGGGAGCCAGCAGAGACGAGAATCTACCTACAAAGGCCTGTCAACTCCTGTCTAGTCAATGGAAAGACAGGTCCGGGGCCCACGTGCTCCATCCGGAAAGGCAGCGGAGTGTTCAGGGAAGATGAAGCCGCGGGGGCCACGTCCACGTGGGGATGTCGCCACCAGCCTGGGGCTCGTGGCGGGCCCAGGGCGGGTGCTAGGAGCCCTCCCGGAAGCTGTGGATCTGTGTGGAGTACTTGTGCAGGTGGCCCTCGGGCTGGGCCTCCGGGGCCCCCAGGGCGCCCCCGGCCGCCTGCTGCTGCTGGTAGTGCTGGTAGAGCTTAGGGCCAGGTCCCTCCAGGCCCGGGAGGCGACCGCTGGACATGGTCAGGATGGTGGCCGTCAGCGACTTGATGTAGTTCTTGGCCAGCGTGAGGGTCTCGATCTTGGAGAGCTTCTTGTCCGCGCGCACGTGCGGGATGACCTCACGCAGCGCCTGGAAGGCGTTGTTCAGCGTGTGCATGCGCTGCCGCTCGCGCTCGTTGCTCTCCAGCCGCCGCTGGACGCTGCTCTCCCGCCGGCCAGCCTGGCCCGAGAGCCCCGGCCGCCGGCGCCCGCCCTCCGCCCGCACCCCCTGCGCCCGCGCGGTCCTGCTCCGCAGACCCTTGGCCAGCGGGGCCCCGGAGCCCGGCTGGGGCCTGTCGGGGGTCTGCTCCCCTGGGGTGGCCTCTGTGTTCTGCGGAGGCACCCGGCGCCTGGGGGGCCGGTTCTTGGTCTTCATGGCTCCAGACTGGTTGTCCCAGGGGGTGGTGGCTCTGAGGGGGGCCCTTGGAGCTGAAATCCAGAACACAGGCCACCCCGTGGTCACTCGGTGGGCCAGTGGACACTTGAACAGCCAGCGGACACTCAGGGCAGCTGCCCACAGCAGCCTCCTCGCTGCCCAGTGGCCGCTGACCGCTTGGTGCACAGTGACCCCAGGCTGCTTCTCATTGACACACGGAGCCCCAAGCTGGCCCCACACACCCCCATGTTCCTGTTTGATCTCATGGTGACCCCTCAAACCTTTCCCGGACCTGGCGGCCCCCTCTCCCCCTGAGTGAGGCGTCCGGAGCCCCGGACTTTTCTCTGGCTGGTGCTTCTCACGGCCCCCAAGTACCTCCTGGATTTAGGAGTCAGGGCACTGAGCGCTGTAACCCCTTCCCAGCTCCGAGGTGCCCTGACCAACTGGCCCCGATTGAGGCCACC